CTTCCTCCACTTTATATGGGACGTCGCCACAGCATGGCTTGCCAAGCAGTGCGTCGGTGCGTGCCCGGGATCTGAACTAGCGAACCCCGGGCCGCCGCAGTAGAGCGTGCTCACTTAACCGCTTGTGCCACCCCGCCGGCCCCACTTACTCTTCTTTGTAATGGAGAAAGAACACATCTCAGGCTCACACCCTTTAACAAGCCAAGTCCTCTAGGAATTTAATTTTGTTTTGCATTCATTATATTTATTTTTACCATTGCCTTCTGGTAATGGTAGGCATCTTCTACCGCTCATAAAAAAGTGATACTAGTTTTTATTTATGACTTTTGAAATAATATTGATACTGGCTCAATACCAGGTTGACATAAGGGAAGCCATATTGTAGAGGAGAGGAGACCATATTGTAACTTTGGATGACCTCTGACCAACTCTGGACTTTGTGGCCCCTCCCAGCTGCTATAAGTTGATAACTTTGTTCTTCTGAGTTCCTTAGGAATGTGATGATCCCCGGGCAGAGAGTCTCTGCTGATAGCCATCATCAATGACAACTGAAAGATCAGGGTAGAGGCGTTGCTCCAGTCTCTGATGCATATCAAGTAAAACAAAGGACTGCCAGGAACTGAGACCAGATGGATGCCCCCACCCTGAGACCAGCTGCCTCCACCCAGTAATCAGATGGATGCCCCCACCCTGGGACCTGATGCCTCCACCCAGTAATCAGATGGATGCCCCCACCCTGGCACCAGATGCCTCCCCCACTTGGAGACCAGCTCTGTCTATAATCTGCCTGTAGTCTTTGTTCTGTAAGATGGTCCTTTGAGACGTTAGTCGGCCATCTTCCCCCTTGCTAGCAAGCTATAATAAACTGCCCTTTCTTTTCCACCATTTTGTCTCTTGACGATTGGCTTTTGTCTTGTGGCGAGCAGATCGTGCCCTTTGTGCGGTAACAATATTAACTTTTTAAAACACATATATTAGAGAAAACACACCCATGCACACTTGTATAGTCCTAGATTATCTTGGGAAAGATGTACAAGAAACTAGTTCTATGGTTCTGGGAGGCTGGGGCGGGCCTGGGTGGGGAACTCTTCATTATGTACGTTATTGTACCTTTTGAGTTTTGAACCATATGAATATATTATCTATCAAAAATATAATTTTTATTTTTAAAACAGAAATGAACATGGAAAAAAGGAAATTTAAGTGAAAAAGAGTCTATTAAAATATATTAGGTAAATACTACAGGTGGTAATGTGGGTTGACAAATATGAGAAGAGCATGTGGCTTTTGGCCACATGTGTGAAAAATTGTGAAGACAGCACATGAATGAATAATGTCTGAGAAGCACTATTTGAAGGATTTGAGGTATTTTGGTGAGTTCTCTTTTAAGTAGAGGAGGCCATGTGGGTGGAGGCGTTCATGATGATGACAAGGTGTCAGTGGTCAGGTCGTCTCTTATCTCTGGGTCTCAGTTTCCTCAGTTGTAGTGAGAAGTAGCTGGCCTAGAGAATTCTCTGAGATCCCACTGTCTTAGTTTGGGTTCCCCCAGAAGCAGACCTTAAGAAAAAGGTCCTAGTGAAAGCAGGCTGATTTACGAGGCACAGGAAACACCCACGGGGTACGAGGCACAGGAAACACCCATGGGGCATGGGGAAGCGAGCCAGGGAAGGTGCATTATGAAGCGGGTTAGCACTGTGGAAGGTGGAGCTTTCTCCTATTGGGAAATGGTGAGAAAACACTCACCTCATCGCACCTGAGGATGAAGGATCTGGGCGCTTAGCAACTCCTGTCAGCCGCTGGTGGAGGGTGGCTCCCCGGGGAGTTAATCCCCCTGCACTTTTAGCCTGCTCTTCACAAGGACAAGGGCACCTTCTGAGGCTTCAGAGAAAGCCCTCAGGTGGGGAGGAGTCGCTATGGCGGTGGGAAGTCCCGGAGCACACAGAAGCGTGAGGCCAAGGGACCAGCCAGTGTCAGTCACACCTTCCAACTCTCAGCCTCAGAGTCTCAGCCTGAGACGGCTTCCTGAGATAAAGATGGAGGCAGTAGGAGGGCTTCTAGAGGACTCTTAGTTCCTGGATGTGGGCAAGCCAGCAGTGGACAGGCGGGGGGACAAGTGGAACCGGCCTGGGGGGGACACAGCAGCAAAGCAGGCTCCCTGGGTGATCCTTGTCTCGGCTGAGTCACCCCTGCCGTGAGGACTGAGTTATACTCTGTGGCTCTGCCTGCATCTGTGTGTCCTGGAGCAACACTCCAGGCCTGGAGAAGCGAGTGTGTGGGTGGCTTCATGAACCACCAGGCCTTGCACTAGATCTTCAGATACTGAAGGCAGAATGGATTTTTCGAGAATGATTAGGGGCTAGGCCAGGGAGTCTGGGTTTCTGGGTGGGGAGTAAACGTGGGGGAGGGGGACAGGAGACTGTTTTACCACTCCCTCTCCCTTTCCTCTGTCCTCCCAATATAGTTACATCTTTATTTTTAATTAAATCGATGTTCTGGCTTTACATTATTAAGACTATATAAATGCTATTCATGGCCAAGCCATGTAATATATTCTGATTTCTTTTTCTCTCTTGTATAACTTTTTTGTTTTCTCTATAATTAATAATTGTCTTTGTTTTCTTTCTTTCTTTTTTTTTTGCTTAGTTATCTTAGTGGTTATCACTAAATCAGTCGCCAGCCTCTCTGCCAGTTATCTAAATCTCATCTTGGTTTTTCCAGACACGTCAGGTGTTGCATTCAGAGGGCTCTCTGTCCCTCTCATCTTTTATCTCCCTTCTGTGGCTGCAGCTCCCAAGGCCATCGCCCCTCCCTCTTCCTGGTGTGGAGACCACACCTGTTTTGCTGTTTTCAACTTATTCTTCAAGCCACCGCAGTCTGGTTTCCACATGCCCCCGGCCTTGGCAAAGACCTTTTTCAAGGTCATGTTTGGTTGCTAAATCCAATGGACACCTTTCTGTTTTCTTCTTCCCCTCTCATCAGCGGGTCACACGGCTGCCGTCTTACTTCCCTGAAGCAGTTTCCTCACTCTGCTTATCTCTGTCTCTCCATCTTGGTTTGCATTCCCCCCAAAGCAGACCCTGTGACAAGGATTCGAGTATATGAGAGAGCTGCAGAGATCACTGGCAGAGGAGCAGGGAGGGAAGGCAGCCATTAAAGGGTGCAATTCTTTTTCATCTTTTCTCCAGCTTTATGGAGGCATAATTGATAAACAAAAATTGTATATGTTTACAGTGTACAATGTGAGGTTTTGATATATGTATACATTGTGAAATGATTACCACAATCGAGCTAATTAATATATCCATTGTCGCACATAATCATCTTTCTTTTTGAGGTGAGAACATTTAAGATTTACTCTCTCAGCAAATTTCAAGTATACAGTATGGTATTATTGATTACCTCACCATGCTGTACAATAAATCTTCAGAATTTATTCATTCTGAATAACTGAAAGTTTGGACAAAGGGTGTGTTGTTAAGCCAGCTACCTCAGTGGGTGATTGGATGTTCATCCAGAGGGGAAACTCTGGGAAATGATGAAAAACAAATACCTCAGATTATCCTACCTAAGGTGTGAGGGAGCTGGGGTATTTATATACCAACTTCTGAGACTAATTGGTTGAGAGCTGCTTTGGGGGTGGGGTGGGCATTCATTCCTCTTTGAGCACTTCCAGCTCAATGGGTTGCAGGCCTAGTAGCCTGGAAGTTGTCCAGCAGGGTCTGAGGGCGTTAGGATCTGAGGGGTTTGAGGGCAGGGTGCTGACAGTGTCTGCTATACTCCCCAGAGCGGATGTAAGTCCATGAGGGCAGGGATGTTGTGTCTTTTGCTTACTTCTAGATCCCCAATGCCTGGCACATAATAGTTGCTTAATATACGATATTTTGATGAACAAATGAATAAGTGAGGAATTCATGAATTCAATTCTAAGGATCCAGCAAGAGGCTAAACAAACTACAGTAGTAGATATTGTGGAAGCTAAACACTTTAGGTAAACAAACCTCACTTTCATATGAAAAAGGAGAAGCAAGGAGAACCTATAAAGTGGTGATGGGGTTCATGGCAGGCTGCCCCAAGATATGCCACTCTGGTATCTGGATTATTTCGAGCTGAAGACAATAAAGGCTCAAAAGACTCTGAAAGAAACTTTGACCACCCCCCCTGCCCCCAACTAACTGCCTAAAGGAATCTAAGATAGATAACTCTGGGTATGGATAGACTGGGAGGGTCCTTGCTAAGCCCATTCTTATCAAAGCTCTGAAAACCAAGTAAAAGTAGAAGTTATCCTTTGTAAGAGGCATTTACATTTATAAGGGAAATCTCTATTTGTAAAGGTATCTCCCTCTCTGTACCAGGAAGAAGGGGGGATGACCTTATCACTAGAAACTCTTATCAGTGCAGAAGGCGAAGACTTAAATTTGCATGTTAACTTTACTCTTGTTTACTGTGCTTTTCTGGTAATCTCCCATAGCTGACTCTCCCCACCCCCAACATCCTCCTTTATCTTTAGCTGAAGATATTATTTAAGATGAGAAGCTCCACCATATTGGCGAGTTACTCAGTTTCCCTGGGTTTCTCCCATGTACACATGTTATAAATCTCTGTTTGATTTTCTCCTGCTGTTCGGTTTCATGTCAATTTAATTTGTAGCCCAGCCAGAAAGGACCCAGAGTGGGTAGAGGATAGTCTTCCTCCCTTACAGTGGTAAAGAGAAACTTGAGAACAATTCAGTTTAGTATAATCATGGAATTCAAATTCAGTGATGTGAAATCACTGGGTCCTGAATAATGCCACTGAGCTGCTGACTACCCAACTCTGGAGTTGCCTCTGGTCTTGTTCTGTGATATGATATGCTGACTATTATTTGAGTTGGCATTTCTATTATTTGTAGCCCAAAACATCCCAACAGATATAAGCTCTGTTGTAAAACTTGGTATATAATTACATGACTTTTATGTGCCTCAGTTTCCTCATCTGGAAAATGGGGGCAATAATATCTTCTTCATAGGATTTCTATGAAGATCAGGTGAGTTAACACATGCAGAGCACTTAGAACTGTGCCTGGCACAGAGCAAATAATCAATGTCAGTTGTTGTTAGTGTTTTATTGTTATTTTAAAATATAATATGTTATTACACTATGTGTTAACTATTTGTTCTATGTTCTTAAAATGTTCAGTTTTCAAAATTAGGCATTTTTAGTTGTATTTTTGGTATTTTCTATTTTTTACTTTAAATGTTTCATGATCAGAGAATATGGCATGTACCATTTCTACACTTTTGTGGCATAAAATTGGAATGGATTTCATAAAACATATTTTAGTGCTTAAAAAACTATATTCTGGACCGGCCCCGTGGCTTAGCGGTTAAGTGCGCGTGCTCTGCTGCTGGCGGCCCGGGTTCGGATCCCGGGCGCGCATGGATGTACCACTTCTCTGGCCATGCTGAGGCTGCGTCCCACATGCAGCAACTAGAAGGATGTGCAGCTATGACATACAACTATCTACTGGGGCTTTGGGGGGAAATAAATAAATAAATAAAATCTTAAAAAAAAAAAACTATATTCTATTTTGAAAGTTAATCTTTCACATATATCTATTAATACTACCTTGTTAGTTGTGTTATTCAGATCATTTAATTCCCATGTCTATAACTAACTCTGAATTTGTCCTCCCTTTTCTACTTTCTACTTCTAGATTCACCTCTCCCTCCTGTGTTCAAATTGGACATCTTTCCAACCTCTTCTCAAATTCCAGTTTGTTTCTGGACTCAATGCCTTACCTCTGAGACCTTCCTGTTCTCCACCCCCAATAACTTTCATTATCAAGATTCTGGAGAAAGATCCCCAGACCACGGCTTTTCTAGCCCCACTGGCGGGCCCCTTTTAAAACCACACTTCCTCTTGCTCTGTCTGCGAGCAGGAAGTGTCTGAAACCAGGTGTTCCTCCTTTCTAGATGCTGTCAAGATCCAGCCACCTTCCTCCCCTGCCATGGCCCTGACACTCAGCTTTTGGCCACATTATTGCTCCAGCTCTCTGTTGCAAGGGTTCTTACACTTTTCTAGAGCAGATTAACTTTTTGAGAGCAACAGACACCTTGGAACCACCCACTATAGCTTACCTAGGTTTTGTTGGCATTTTTATGACCAGGGAAAGAAGTTTTCAAGGGGAACTAAAGAGCTAGGAGCTAGACCTGTCCTGCAATAATATCTTCGGTCCTTCTCTCCACTATTTCCTTCTTTCTTACCCCTTCTTAGCTCCCCAGACCAGTGGAAGGTATTCTTTGTCTTGTTCAGACCTGAAGTCTCAGTTATTTATTTATTAAATCAACATTTGATAAGCTCCTTTTAAGGTGGCACATAGCATGCTGAGTCTTGGGAACATACATTTGGATAATTCAGGATTGTTGCCTTCAATAAGCTATAGTAGGAGAAATAACCTCATAAACACTTAATGAGGTCACAGTGTGAGAACTGCTAATAGAGCTTTGTGCAAGAGAGCCTGGGTCGGAGTAGGAAAATCAGGGCAGGCTTCTCAGAAGAGGTGACAGCTTGAGTTGGCCCTTGGAAAGCAAGTAGGAGTTTCGGAGGGTGACAAAAAGAAGCAGAACAAAGGCATTCTAGACATGTTCAATGATAGGTTGTATTAGTTATCTAAAGCTGCATAATAAATGACCCCAAGGGCTGGCCCTGTGGTTAAGTGCGCACGCTCTGCTACTGGCGGCCCGGGTTTGGATCCTGGGCGCGCACTGACGCACCACTTCTCTGGCCATGCTAAGGCCGCATCCCACATACAGCAACTAGAAGGATGTGCAACTATGACATACAACTATCTACTGGGGCTTTGGGGAAAAAAAAGGAGGAGGGTTGGCAATAGATGTTAGCTTAGAGCTGGTCTTCCTCAGCAAAAAGAGGAGGATTAGCATGGATGTTAGCTCAGGGCTGATCTTCCTCACAAAAAAATAAATAAATAAATGACCCCAAACTTAGTGGCTTCAAACAGCAATAATCATTGCTGGTGGAAATGCAAAATGGTACAGTCACTTTGGAAGACAGTTTGGTGGTGTCTTACAAAACTAAACATGCTCTTACCATACAATCCAGCAATTGTGCTTTGGGTATTTACCCAAAGGGGCTGAAAACTTATGCCCCCACAAAACCCTGCACATGGATGTCTCTAGCAGCTTTATTCATAATTGCCCAAACTTGGAAGCAAGTAAGATGTCCTTCAGTAGCTGAATGGATAAATAAACTGTGGTACATCCAGAAAATGGAGTATCATTCAGTGCTAAAAAGGAACTATCAAACTGTGAAAAGACATGGAGGAAACTTAAATGCATATTACTAAGAGAAAGATGCCAGTCTGAAAATGCTACATACTGTCTTATTCCAATTATACGATATTCTGGAAAAGGCAACACTATGGAGACAGTAAAAACAGCAGTCTGGTGGAGGATGTTGATAACAGCAGAGGCTGTGAATGTGTGGGGGTAGGAGGTATATGGGAAGTTTTCATAATTCTCCTCAATTTTGCTGTAAACTTAAAACTGCTCTAAAAATTGTCTGTGTTAAAACAAGACAAAACAAACAAAAAAAATCTGACAATAGTTATGTCTTATCACCCATGATTTCTGTGGGTCAGGAAGTTGGGGATGGTTGACTGAGTAGTTGACTCAGCATCTTTCATGAAGTTGTGGTCAGAAGTCAGCTGGGGTTGCAGTCATCTGAAGGCTTGACTGGGGTTGAAAGACCCACCACAAAAGTAGCTAACTCACATGGAGGACGAGTTGGTACTGGCTGTCGGTGGGAGGCCTCAGTTCTTCTCCATGAGAGCCTTTCTACGGGGCAGCTTAAATGTCCTCACAGCAAGGTGGTTCGCTTCCTCCAGCCTCCAGAGAGAGCAATCAAGGGAGCAAGGCAGAAGCTGAAAAGCCTTTCATAACCTAGCCTTGGAAGTCACACAACTTCACTCCTGCTGTATTCTGATGGTCACACAGGCCAGCCATGATTCATTGTGGAAGGGGACTACACAAGGGTATGAATATTAGGAGAGGAAGATTGTTAGGGGCCATCTTGGATGCTGGCTACCACATAGGGCACTGTATGTAACTGATGTGGTGTACTTGGGCTATAAACAGTTAGAAATGAGCCTGAAAGTTATTTACGGACTAAATTGTCAAGGGCTAAGGAGTTTGGCTTTTAACTGTTGGTAATAGGGAAATGTTGAAAGTTTTTTTTTTTTTTTTTTGTGAAGAAGACTGGCTCTGAGTTAACATCCATTGCCAATCCTCCTCTTTTTGCTGAGGAAGATTAGCCCTTAGCTAACATCTGTGCCCATCTTTCTCTATTTTGTATGTGGGATGTCACCACAACAGGGCCTGACGAGAAGTGTGTAGGTCTGCACCTGGGATCTGATTCCGTGAACCCCGGGCCACTGAAGCGGAGCACGTGAACTTAACCACTATGCCACCGGGCTGGCCCCCAAAAGGTTTTTAAGAAGGCACCTAGAGGGTTGAACTGTCTCTTCTTATCTGAATTTCACAGCAAGAGCTGTCCAATATGTTTAAAAGAGCCCCCTGATGCCCTCTGCTTTTTCTTTGGGCTGTTTGAAACTGTATGTAGATTTACACACATCTCATTCTTTCTCTTTGTGTTGGATTGCCTTTTGGACACTGTGTCATATGTCAGCTTGGATATACTTCCACTACGTAAAATGTAATCTCTTTGTATCAGTTGGGATACTCGTGGTTGCAAATAAAAAATTCAACTCAAAATGACTTAAGAAATGAAAATAATTTATTGA